TCCCTTGCCCCTTAACACTCTATGGCTCCACATTGTCTGGGAAATGATCAGACAAGGCTCTTTCCCATCCTCAAGCATTTTCTCATAGTCTTCTCTCCTTCAGGTTTGGGGTGGGCATGCTGCAAGCAGAGTCAGGGGAGCCACGGGCCTTGTGCACATGTGCTCTTTGGGCAGTTTCCCTCTAGGGGAGCTGGCCTTTGGGGATTTTGCCTTGATTTTTCATCTGTATCAGGATCCCACATCCTGTGATCCACAGGGTGATGGGGACCCTTATCTGACTGGCACAAACTTGGAATCCCTGCCAGGAAAGTGAGTTTCCCAGGCCTAAGAGAGGTTCCCGGTAGGGGCACGTTGGAAACACCTTATTACCCAAAGAAAACCTCACCCAAGGGTGTGTCTCACGGGCCCAGGCAGAAAGAAATGTGGCTCAGGATGGGAGGTAAAATCCAGGTGCTGTCCTGTTCTGCCCTCAGAGTCTCAGGCCGTCAGGGTGGTCCTATGATACCATAAAGGAAGCCCCTTGCCCCACCAACATCTTCTCCAGACTCCTTGGTTACAAGCAACAGAATTAAGCTGAGGATTTGTTGGAAGAGGGGGGGGGGGACTGGGCATGGGAAAGGAGCAGGAGCATTGAGGTGCATAGGGTTGAGGTGCAGGATCCACAGGCCTGGACTTGGGGCCCCAAAGAATCTGGTCAGGGCATGTGCCTGTGACAGATGTCCTTGGAACTCATTCTAGCCCACATCTGAGTTCCAAAGGGGAACATCTGATTGGCTGAGGCTCCCTGGAAAGCAAGGGTCCAAAACTCTAGCTTTTTTAGCTGGACCCCTGGGTCCCCACTCCCTCCAAGGCTGTATACAATGAGGTCAGAGGGACTTCCCCAAAAAAGGAAGTTGAGAGATGTTTGCCAGAGAGCCAAACTTAATTCCCATCACAAGCCGCAGCCCACCCCCAGAGAGTGACTTCCCTGGGGGAAGCATTGCCCTTGCTCTCTGAAGGACCGCGTGAAGCTGGCAACTTCTGCTGGCTGGGGTGAGCCAACATCACTGAACTGCTGGCGGAGGTCCTGACTTAGCTGTTGGGGGTGGGGTGAAGGTGGGGAGGGAGGTATCTTGGCAACAGAGCAGAATCCAGGTGTCTGGCTATGGCTGTCCGCCTACCCTCAGTGATGGTGATGATGTATCAGGCAGGCCAGGTGTCTGGTGATGGGACCCAGATCCCATCCCCCAGATTTGCTAGGCAACTTCTGAAATACCAGGGGCACCAAGTCTCTAAACCTCAATGACAACACCAACTCCCCAGCCCTGTCTCAGGCCCCTCCCTGGAAAGCTCAAGAATCATCAAGTCTGCCACTACCAACATGGAGACTCTGGACTGAGTCCCATTCTTAGTGCTGGAATGCCCCAACCTGAAGCTGAAGAGCCGCCCTGGGTGCACGTGCCCTCAGCCATGACGGTGTACGTTCTGGTGGTGTCTCATTTCCTTACCACTGGAAGGATAATTTAGGATGTTATTGTCAAACCTCCAAGTGTTGGCTCTATGACTGATGAACATGGGCATCAAGACCAGTGGCTTTCTTGGCCTACAGAGTAAGTGGACAATATATTATGGAAGGACTCACATCCAGCTTCCTATTTACAATGGGAGGTTTAGGTTTCATAATCCTAGATCGATCCAATGCTCCAAACATTCCAAAACGCAATAGATTTCTTCTTCTATTCATTGGATTTGTCTATTGAGTTTTTTCATGGCTAAATATTCATGAGAATGCAATTGCTGGGCTATCTGTTGGGTTAGAGTGCCTTTTGAGAAGAAATTTGTGGACACTGGATTTGTTCCTGCTAATGAAGTTTTAAAGACTGTATCAAACCTCTGATGTAAAATATGGAAAGGATGAAAAGCAGCAGAGAAGCATGTAGTAGAAAACATGGGAAGCATTAAAGTTTGGACCAGAATATCAAAGGGACAAGCTCATCACAGTGTTTTTCCTGCTGACGTACCAATGATGCTGGGTGGCACTTTCTTCTGTTTTTAATTTCTTAAAGAAAATATACTCCATTTTTACACCTATAATATTGAATAAAGTAATTATTTTTTACAACCGTCAACATTTTTTGGAGATGACATTTCTGGCTTTGAGAAATTAATGTAAAATGAGGTAGCAAGATCCCATAAGCTGAGAAGTCTGGACAGCTGATCAGCATTACCTGTGGTGCTTTGCCTTTAAACCATGCGTGGGCCCTGGCTGGTTTGGCTCAGTGGTTGGAGCGAAGGCCTGCGGACCAGAGAGTCCCGGGTTCGGTTCCCCCCAGGGGCACGTACCAAAAAATAAAAATAAAAAATAAAGCGTGTGTGACAATACCTTATTTCAGACGTGTATGTGAGGATGTTTCCTGGACAGTGAGGTGTCTGAAAGGAGCAGAAATAAAGAATTTTTCTAATTAACATTTTTATAAAAAATAAAAGTAAAGAATCACCAAGTCTGTCCAAACCCAGGCTCAGAAGAGGGACCTCTGACCTGAGAAGTCCCTAGTGCTGGCCTCAAGGCAAAACTAGCCAAACTTTACAGTATACTCCAACTCCTCCCCTCCCTGATAAATAGAAGAATCTGCAGAGGAGGGAGGAAGGCCACCCTGGAGGAGGGAAGGGGCAGGAAGGACCTGGGCTCAGCAGATGTTCCTCCCCTGGGGGTCCCTAGAAGACGGATGCACCACCGTTCTCTCAGAAACAGGTCTGTGGCTTGGGCTAATTGTCCTTGTGACTACCACTTAGGGTGGACTCTTTACTGTTCCCATGACGTACTTCAGGTAGAGCATGAGTTCCAGGTACCCTTCGTTCCTGCCACCTGCACCTTGAACTGACACTTCTCCGGAGAGAGGATCCGAGCACGGCCGTTGGGCAGGGCTGTCCGGGAACTGTCCCTTCCACCTGAAGAGTTAGCCTCCGGTTTTCCAGCCCACTCACCACCAGTGCTCCCATCGGTCCTGGCCAGGAGGTGACCATGTGAATGAATGAACAGGGTTTTTGCCTCCAGCCTTCTGGACAGACTGACGCACACCCTCTCCCCAAGGCTTCCACACTTCTATCTTAGCTTGTCTCACACTCAGCCTACCCCAGAGTCGGTGTGAAATGGAGCTGTTCTCCTGAAGATAGAAATGTTCAGACTCTGTCACTTGCTGCCCCAGCTCAGTGATAAATAAATGCTCCTTGAAATAAGACCTCCTCCAGCAAAGAGATTGGATATTATTTATATGTTATCTTTCCTCTCTGTGCCCAGCACAGTGATTTCCATACAGTATGGGTCCAATAAATGCTCCCTGAGTCAAATACAGAGCACTTATGGATTGCCCACTGATGGTCAGGCACCATGCCTGGCCTAGAGGAAGCTAGCACTCCCTAAGCACTGTGCCGGAGACTGCTAGACACATGTAACCTCACAGCAACTCTATGAAGTAGGCACTGTTATTATACTCATTTTCCAGAGGAGAAATGCGAGGCACAGACAGACCACAGAACTTGCCTAAGCAGTGGAGCTATGGTTCCAGCCAGGCAATCTGGCTCCAGAGACGACACGTTTAACTGCTTTCCCAATTAAACAGGGTATTAACTTCTGGAATTAAACAAGGCATTCTGATGCAGCCTTGTGAAATTAGAAAAAATACTATTTATAAATTGATCTCTCCAACAGACATCCATAACGGTCATCTCCCCTTGGGGAGATGGGACTCGGGGACAGAGTGAAGATGCCACTTCACAATGGCTTGCAAAAGAAAAAGCTGCAAGTCAGGTGACAGCGTTTGTCAGAGCAGTGAAAACATTATGTCCCCTTCTCTGGCAGCTGCAGTTCCCAAGGGCAAAGCTACGAAAGAGCAAAAACTGGGCACATTGATGACCTTGGCACCAGGACTTCCAAACCAAACAGGGCAGTGCCACATCACACTTCTGCTCAAGCCCCACAAGGTCCATGCCAGGTGCTCTCGCCAGGAAAAGGTGGCTGGGACACCAGCTGGGACCCAGCCCAGCAACACTGTGGTGGTTTTCAGTGTGAACCCCCAAGGAGGCTTGGACTGCCTTCTCAGCCTGGTTTGCTCTCTACAAAGCCCCTTGTCACATCCTGTATGGCAAGGCTGCCTGCCAGACAGGAACCGGGTCCCTCCAGGTTCCCGCAGCCACCAGTGCAGACAGCCACATGTTAAAGGATACTGGCTTCAAATACCAACTGGGGTAGAAATACTTCCTAGCAGCTCATTTCAATTTACTAAATGATTCCTTGTGATCGTGTACAGTGGGTTGCAACCTTACTTAGGTACTTGTTATAAATACAGGTCCCCCTGGCCCATCTTAAACCTAAGAAATCAGACAAGGGGCCAGGAGGGGTTGTGGGGTGGTGGCTTGGCACCCTACCTCACCAAGTGATTCAGCTTCCGAACCAGGTTGAGAGTCATTCAGATGAGTGAGGCATGTAGCCTCTGCTCCCTACTCCAAATGTACTTGAACTACGCCCCGCACACGCTGGCCCAGACACGCTGGCCTTCTCTTTCCTAAACACATCGAGCTCTTCCGCTTCAGGGCCTTCGCTCAAGCTGTCCTGCCAGGTACGCAGCTCAGATTGCAGTGCCAGGTCTGTCCACTCAGGCTCACCGCAACACATTGTGTCTTAGCCACTGTTTCTCCCATGTGGTGATTGTCTCTCCCCAGCAGTCTGTAAGCTTCGTGTCACCTCACCACCGAGAGGCAACTGCCTGTGCATACAGTAGGTGCAGCATAGGTGGGTACCAAGTGAATACACACATACATAAAAAGGGCAAGGACCAGTTAATTCTAGAAGCCGGTAGAGGAAAAGCTCACAAAGGAGAGGCAAGGGCAGGCCAGACAGCAGGAAGCGTTTCTGTGGCCCCACGTCCTGTGCCAGCCACCCCCACCCCCCAGGGCAGGTTCTCCTATGCCCAAGGAGAACCAAGTGCCACATTCCCAGAACACCATCAGGAACATGGAGCCAGAAGAGTCTACATAAGTTTATTGTCATTCAAATTATTTCATACAAAAAAGGAACATAGCAATCGGGTCAGGGTTTACGAAAACATTTTAAAAAGCAGGTATGTAGACATTGCTCTATTTACAACGGGGAGTAGGCTCTCCCCCACATCACGCACAACAGCTGCACTTGTCCGATGCTCCTTTGCAGATGCAGCCCTGGGCACACTTGGCACAGTCCACCGGGCAGCAGGTGCAGCAGCCTGAGGAGAAAGGGCAGAGGGAGAAGTCAGAACACACATTACAGGCACTTCCCTGCCCAACAACAGGCCTGGCACAAGCTCCCCCACCAACCCCAGACGACCCTCAGTTTGAGATAGCATGTGCTGTCCTGAGACAATTGCTAGAACCTTTGGAAAAAGTTCCACCCTCTAGGAAAAGACTGCCCTGCCATTCTGAGTCCAAACAGGGCAGAAAGTCTAAAGAGGAGGGATCAAGGCCTCCGGGGGCAATGGAAATCAGCCTCTAGCCTCCGAGAACCATACAATGAAGTGAGGAACGTCAAGATGGGGGGGGGGGGGAGGCAAATCCCTGCCACAGCAGTGCCCAAGAGGTCCAGAAAACTTTGGGCTGATTCTATAGGTAAGGACTGCACCAGCAGGTGGCAGAAACCAAGTTCATGGGCGTAAAGTGCTCAGGACACTAGAGGGGCCAGAACACTGCATCAGGAGACAGGTTCTAGTTCTGGCTCCACCCTTGACACTGTTTGGTGACTTCTCTGGACCCTAGTGTCCCTGTTCTAGAATGAGAGGTTAGACTGAACCACCTCTATGGCTCTCTCAGCTGATCCTGACTCAGTTGCTGAGGGAAGGGGGGTAGAGACACCGGGTCATTGGTCTGCTGGTGCCTGCTGAGCTCAGGGCTCCCTCCTCTGACTTAGCTCCGACCCCACATTCGTAGAGAAGGCCCTCACTCACTCTGCTTGCAGGAGGTGCATTTGCAGTCTTTGCATGTGCAGGAGCCAGCGCAGGTGCAGGATCCCCCTGCAAGGAGGAGAAAGACAGGCAGTAAGAGGGTGATGCAGGAGAGGCAGCAGTCAATCAACAATCCCTCCCTGCACCTCCTGTCAGGACCCGGCACTGGGAGCTCCTTTCTCAATCAGGGCAGATCAAGACAAGCCTCACTTTCTCTCTTTTAGTAGGAGGAAGGTAGGTCCCCTCCTGACTTTACCCCATAGGGAGGTCCTAGGCTCCAGTCACAGCCCAGGCAGATTGGGGCTGGGGCCAGGGTCTGATGTTCTGAACTGCAAATAGGCAATGCCCCACCTCCCATCAAGTCCTGGCAGCTCGGAGGCCTGGACAGAGCACTGGGTCCCAGTCCAGCAGCCCCTGGCCCACCGGTTGACCTCGAGAATGATAGTCCTAAGCCTCAGAGGCAAAGGGGGACTGGAAGTGCTCTCAGAAGCTTGGTTAGGAAGGACACACTGACCAACTACAGGGGTCCACTAGAGCCATAATTAAAATACTCCCTGCTCCACCCCTAGGATACTCTGTCCTGCGTCTAGGAAAGGGGCATCCTAAGGCCCAGCGCCGGGGTCCTTACCAGTGGAGCAGGAGCAGTTGGGGTCCATTTCGATCAGAGGTGAGGCTTGAAGTCCAAAGCAAGAGAAGAAGAGACACTCGTGCTTGTCCACTGCGTGCTGGCGTCCAGGAGCCCGCGTGCTCACTTATAGCCAGAGGAGGCGGCCCGGGCGCAGAGGCCCCGCCCCGGCCCTTGCACCCCGCCCCGGCCCTTGCACCCCGCCCCGGCCCTTGCACCCCGCCCTGGCCCTTGCACCCCGCCCCGGCCCTTGCACCCCGCCCTCGGCAGCCGTGCCGGCCGCAGCGCCCTTGCCGGGCTGAGCGCAGCGGGCCGGCAGCGCCGGGCGCAGTTTCGCTACGGTTTGGATTCCGTGCGCACCGCGCTGGCTGCACATTTGGCGCCTGATGGCGTGGAGGAGCTTGTGTGCCGTGCGGCACACGGTGTCCCAGTCCCAGGCCCTTCCTAATTATCCCCAGGGGACAGCCACCCCTGTTCCCGGGTGTTCCGGGAACTCAGTGCCTGAGTCCTAGCCCAGTTCCCCCCACCCCCCACTCCCCGGCCCCCTAGTCTGTGTCGTCAGGTTCACTCTTCACCAGAGCCCGTGTGCAAGCCCAGCCTTGTGCTCACATCCCCGACCTGACAGGAGGCCCGGAGCTGTGTACAGCGACCAATAGTAGAGGTGACCTTCACCCCCTCACTCCCTTCCCCCACCCCCGCATTGATGTCTGTCCTTGCCTGTCTCCTGTTCACAGCAACACAGGCGAATAGAGGCCCTTCCCCCTTTCTTCTATTTTCCACCACCAGAGGGATGAATGGGCACATTGCCCTGGTCCTCCTTTGCCTAAACTTTCCAGGGCTTTCCTCAGCCTAGGGGTCCACCCCACTCCATGATGGAGGTCCCCAAAGCCTGGGACGCAATCCTTCCAATCGCCAAGGAAGGGATCACTGTAAGCGCTAGGCTGACCTGGCATAAATAACAAACAAGAGAAATTATTTCCTTTTCAGTGTTCCTGACAATTACATAACATTTAGTCTGTGCTAGCCTTGGTTAGTCACTTTTTCCCCCTAAAATATTCTTTCTGTATTGATTTTAGAGACGAAGGGAGAGAGAGAAACATCCATGAGAGAGAACACTGATTGGCCCCCTCCTGCATGCCCCCCACTGGGGATTTGGCCTACACCTGACCGGGAATCAAACCTGCGGCCTCTTGGTGCATGGGTCGATGCTCAACCAGTGAGCTACACTGGCGGGCAAAGTCTTGGTTAATCACTTTAAGGTTCTTTAAACTCTAACAACTCTAAAGGGAAATCCTAGAACTACACACAACACAAGAAGTTTATAGGTAACTCACAGCCAGGTGCTGGGAAGTGGTAGCCTGGGTCTGACTCCAGTCACTTCCCAAAAGAAAGAGAAAGAACCTTCCCTTTGGCCCAGAGGTATGTCTTTGCCGACTCTATTGTGTCCACCTAAATCCTGGGAGTGAAAAAGTGATGCCTACGAAAGGAATATAGGTATGTATGATTCTGTGGCTACTCTCTGTGCCTGGAAGTAAACTGACTCTCATTTTCAGTAGTGGTAAGGAGTTTGCTTTTCATATAAATATATTTAAAGAAATATGAATGGTTTAAAAATTGTTACGTAAACTACTGGTGCAGGTGACAACAGAAATGGTGACTCCTGTATCTGTGATGAGACACAGCCTGTCTTGCACATGCTTTACCCCCCTAGTGCTGATCTCTCTTGGTGGGAAGAGAGACTAACCTCTGGGCCACTGGTGTCATGTTCACATGGTTGATGAGGACAATACAGGACACAGAGCTAGGCCTGGTATATTTGTCTGCAAGTAGAAAAGTGTCTCCTATGCTATTAATGATAAATATAAATTAATAGCTAATAGTATAGGTTACTCACAGTGTGCCTGGCATTGTTCTAAGTTCTTTGCATGTATTAAATCATGCAATCCTAAGAGCCAGACGCTATTATTTTCCCTTTTCATAGTGGAGGAGGCTGAGCCAGACAGGTAATGACACCCAGCTATCAGTGGCACAGGTGGGATTGGCACTCATGCCAGCTGCCTGCAGCCTCATGCCCTCACCCACCACCCAGCACCATGACATCACATGAAAGAGGAGGACACGGTACACCTGACCCAGAGGCAGTGGGAAGAGCAAAGTGGCAGCCAGATCCCTGTGAGTAGCCCTATGACCTCTCTGGGCTCCAGTCTCTCGAGCTGGGAGCACAACAGGACTATCTCAAAGGACCCTTCCAGCTCTGAATAATGAGAGGCAGGATTTAATACACAGAGACATCATGTCCCAGGAGGCTTATTGCAGGTCATCCACACTCCCCATAGCACTGGGTCAGCAAGGTTCTGATGCCATCTCTACCCTCCGACCTTGAGTAATGCTCAAAATCAACAAACACTTCACCAAGAGCATGTTGGGAGTTAAAAGGATTCTCTCTACATGAATATCAGTAAGGACACAGTGATCATAACAGCCATTATTTATTATGCCCTAGCCTGGGGCCAGGACACTATCATTTATTCCTCACACAGAGATATAATTTCCTTTTTACAAATGGGGAAAAGGACTTCTTTGGGTCACATGGCCAGAAAGTGGCATAGTGTGATCTGTGAACCAGGATGCCCAATACCAGAACCCATGCCCTCAGCCAAGGATGGCGGCTAAAACCCTCTTCAACACAGGGCATCTGCGGGCAAGCATGGTCCTGACTCTGGTCCACGTACTTGTCTTTGTCTTTGATTTTACATCAAATAGCAACTCCTTCCACAATAGCCAGGGGGGACTAACAGTTGTCATTAATTACAACTCACTCTGGGCCTCACTCCTGTCTAATAAACACCACCCCCTCCGAACAGCAGAACCCGCCGTCATCCTGCACGGGCAGACTCAAAATTCTGCATCTGGAAATTCTAAGGCTCTCTCCCTCTTGATGAGAAAAGCCCAGGTGATTTCCTCCAAAACCTTATGCACTTGGCTGGTTTCAAGTAGCCAAGGGCTGGATTTTGGAGGGGCAGATATCTGTCTGACTCAGGAGGAACTTCCTGAGATTCACAGCCAAGCCACAGCTAGGAGCTCTCAGGGAGTGGCAGGTGTCTCATCAGAGACACTGAGCAAGCCAAGAATGATATTTCCCTTTGGGGTTATCGGGGTTCAGGTGTGCATTGCTCTAAGGCTGTGTGCTCCATACACTGGGGCATTTGTAACTTGTTTTAAGTGCTCAGTGCACACTTTTGATGTAAATAGGTACAGCGCTTGTAAATATCTAATTTTCTTATTGGTCCTTCATATACTTATTGCAATTATGTGCATTGAATCTCAGAAGAGGTTTTGTATACTGTCCTTTCAAATGTTTTGTTAATCCTGACCCAAAGATATTTTTTGCTATTGACTTTCAGAGAGAGTGGAAGGGAGGGAGGGAGGAAGAGAGAGAGAGAGAGAAACATTGATGCGAGAGAAACACATCATTTGGTTGCCCCCCCAAATGAACCTGAAGCCCAGGTACGTGCCCCTGACCAGGAATCAAACTCAAGACCCTTCAGTCTGCCGGTTGACACTCTAACAACTGAGCCAAAACAGCCAGGGCTCAAACTCTTTCTTAATAATTAATTTTATTTTACCATAGTTGATATCTGTCAATGTTAGAAACTAAAAAATGGACTCTCAACACCAATGTTTTAGAAGCAAACCCTCACAGTTCATGCCCTAGTGCTCTTGCAATTGACAGAAGATGAAGCTCAGTGAGGTCACCTGCTTGACTTAAGACAGTTGGTTTCTTGGGGACAAAAAAAATTTCATGCAGAAACCAACTCTCTGCACTTCTACACATTCTCCAGCCCAGTTAATGCTTGGAAAAGAAACCAGAGTCAGCCCTGGCCGGTTTGACTCAGTGGTTGAAGCGATGGCCTGCAGACCAAAGAATGAAGGGTTGGATTCTGGTGAAGGGCGATGCCTTGGTTGCGGTTTAATCCCAGGCCCTAGTTGAGGTAGTGCAGAAGGCAGCCAATCGATGTGTCACTCTCACATGGATGTTTCTCTCTCTCTCTCTCTCTCTCTCTCTCTCTCTCTCTCTCTCTCCCTCTCCCTGTCTGCCACCCTCCCTTGCTCTTTCTCTATCTGAAAATCAATGGAAAAATATCCTTGGGAGAGAATTAAAAAAAGAAGAAAGAAAGAAACCAGAGTCGGAGTAAAGGCAACAACTTTTATTATCATTTATGTATTTCACAGAAAAAAGAACGTGGCAAACGGGTCAGTGTGGAATGGGGAAAAAAATGCAGGTTTGAACATGTTGCTCTACACCTGGGAACAGGCTCTCCCCGACGTCACTCACAGCAGCTGCACTCATCCGATGCTCCCTTGCAGATGCAGCCCTGGGCACAATCGGCACAGCCCACGGGGCAGCATGAGCAGCAGCCTGGGGACAGCATGAAAAATGAGAGGTCAGAGATGACTTTACCAGGCACCTCCCTGCCCAACAGCAGGCCAGGCACAAGCCCTCAGCTCCCAAGGACCCCTAGTATGAAACAGCATGCTCTGTTGTGAAACAACTAGTAAAACGGTTTCCCCAGGAGAAGGCTGGCCTGCCCCATCTGAGCCCAGGACAGGGCAGAGAGCCTGCAGAGGCAGTGACAGTTTCCCAAGGGCAAAAGACCAGCCACCCACTTACAATCGCAACTGCACTTTCTCCTCTGACTTCCAAGCCCCCAGATTTCCAAGGAAGGGCCCTCACTCACTCTGCTTGCAGGAGGTGCATTTGCAGTCTTTGCATGTGCAGGAGCTGGTGCAGGTGCAGGATTCCTCTGCAAGGAGGAGAAAGACAGGCAGTGAGAGGGTGATGCAGGAGAGACAGCAGTCCTCAACTATGCTCCCCCACACCTCCTCCTCTGGGCGGGGTCCAGCCCTGGGAACCCCTGTCCCCACATAGAACAGATGGGAGCCTACCCCACTTTCTCTGCTCTTCTGTTGGAGAGGGCAGTGCATGTCCTTGTATTTACCCCCCAGGGATGGTCCCAGGCTCCAGACCCAGTTCAGTTAGGCTGAGTCTGGGCTCCAGCATCTTAGGTCCTCAGCACAGTATACTCTGTCCCCTGCCTCCAACCACCACAGACAACTTAGAGTCCTGGGCCAGCAGCACCCCCCCACATACACACCTGATGAGGTGAAGCAGGACGGCCTTGAGCCTCAGCCCTTCCAACAGGAATGGCTGGGAGGCTGGGAATGTTCTAACCTGGGATGAGGGTCCTTGGCCAGGGAGAGAGCACACAATCTACTATCTCTCTAAAAAGTCCATTTTCTCTCAAGCTCAAAATACTCTTTCTTCTCACCCCAGGGACACTGCCGTGGGGCTAGAAAACGGTCTCCTAAGGTTGGGTGCTGAGGTCTCTACCTGTTGGACAGGAGCAGTCGGGGTCCATCTCCAGCATAGATGAGACAGGAGGTCCAAAGCAAGAGAAGAGGCGATTGGGCTGGTACACCGCGTGGTGGCGCCCGAGAACCCGGGTGCTCACTTTATAGCCCGAGGAAGCGGCCCGGACGCAGAGGCCCTGCCCCAGCCCTTGCACTCGGGCTCGGCTCGTGCATCTCGCCCTTCGGAATTCGTGCCGCTCGCAGTGTCCTTGGTGGGGCCGGGAGCACTGTTCCACTAGCGCCACTGTACTGTGTGCGCACTGCGCGGGCCGCACCTTTGGCGCCTAATGACGCAGAAGGGCTTGTGTGTCGTGTTGCACACGGTACCCAGGCTCCAGGCCTGACCCTGCCCAGTTTTCCACAGAGGGCAGTCACTCTGATCTGCAGACCCTTGTTACTGAAACCCAGCCCCTGCGACCTAGATATCTTTCCCACCTTGGAACCCGCGGCACTGACCTCAGGTTTACCCCTTCCAGAATCCGGGGAGCAACTCCCCCTCCCACTCATGTCCTTGACTTGGCAAGAACGAGGGAGAAAGGAAAGGGAGTTATGTGCAGAGGACCAGATGCAATGGGACCTTGGCCTCCCAGCCGCATTTCTTCTCCCTGTCCCCTCACATGGGGCCTTCGGCCCCCTTTCTGCTCTACACCACACTTTGGCCTGCACAAGCCTTCCTGCCTCCTTCCACCCTTCCACCATCTACCTGCGGCATCCATGGACACATTTGTCAGAGCCCTTTGCAGAAAATGCTAGTGCTCCCCACAGCCTGCGGGGGCCTGCAGCGTGGGGTACCCCAAAGGAAGCCACATTTTATGTAATGGGAAGACTTGGTTTGGAATATCACTGCAGGAAGAGTGTTTTCCCCCTTCACCTCCTAATGATGACATAGCATTTAGTAAGTGTCATGTTTTAATCACTTTGGATCTTTGTACCCTGACAACAACCCTACAAGGGAAGTACTTTTATGTATGAGCGCTTTTTGCTAATAGGACCTCTTCAACACAAGGACTCTAAATTTGCCCAAGGTGACATAGCTGGGAATTTGTATATTCAGTGGAATCCAGTTAGGCTTCCAAGGGAAGGAGAAGAAAGTCCCTGAATAGCCAGTCTATGGCCAAGGTCTGTTGACAATACTTCTCTACTGCTTGAGGCCATTTATTTATTTATTTATTTTTATCCTCACCCGAGGACATTTTTGCATTTATCCTCAGATAGAGCGGGAGGGAGAGAGAGAGAGAAACATCAATGTGAGAGAGACACATTAAGTGGTTACCACCCACACGACCCCAACCAGGGCCAGGACAAACCGCAACCGGGGTACATGCCCTTAGCGGGAACCAAACCCGCTCTCTGGTCCGGGGCCGACGTTCTAACCACTGAGCCAAACCGGCCAGGGCTGCTTGAGGCCATTTAAACAAGAGCAAGCTGCCAGCTCAACCATGGTGGCAATACAAGTGAACCATAGTAAAACATACATATATTTATAATTATATATAATAACTATTATAATATAAATAAATATTTATAACCATAGTAGTAATATAATGTTATTATTGTTATAACAATAAAATTGGCTCTCTCCAATGTCTTGCATAATACAGATTCTTGCTGTCTGGTAAAATAGTTTGCTTTCCATATAAATATATTTAGGAAAATATGAATCATTTCAAAGTACAATGTGGTGAAGGTAGCAGGAAAAGTGGCATGTTTCTCTGGGTTTCTGACAAGACACGGCATTTTCCTCACGACTGGACATTTTTGTGTCGGTCACAATTTGGTGGAAGAGTGAATGCTGGTCACACCCTCATGGGGTTGATGAGAACAACATAGGACACACGACCTGGCACATCAGCCCTGGCTTATTTGTTGGGAGAGTAATAAATTTCCCCTCAGCAATGTAGAATAATCATAAAGGAATAGTATTATAGACCACTCACCATGTGCCAGACCTCATGTAGGTTCTGTACATGTACAAGATCATCCTCTCCTATGACCCATATGGTTTACTTCCCCCCTTTATGGTGAAGAAGACTGAGCCAAATGCAGGGTAAGTGACACAGGTGGGACATGCACTGCAGGTTGACTGCAGCATCACACCCTCACCCACCACCCTCCACCCGGATTTCCCACGGAAGACGAGGATGCTGAAACCTGGCTTAGAGGCTACGGTGGCAAGAACACAGAGCTGGCGATCTGCACAGCTCTGTGAGCTATCTGGGCTTCAGTTTCCCACCTCTCAAGCCAGGGGCACAAATGGTTCTCGAACGTCCCTTCTAGCTCTCATTGTGAGAGGCAGGATTTAGCATCCAGTGACCATCACAATCAGATGGCAGTGACCAGAGAGTGAAGCCAACTGTAGCCTAGGTTCAGACCTGTGACTTCTGGGGAAGGTTCTTTAACCTCTCTGGAAAATGACACAATGATTTCAACCCTTGCGTTTTCACTCTGACTAGCTCCTTTGTAGAAAAAAATAATATAAAGGGTGGGGAAGGCTTTTGTGTCTACCCAGAGGCTGTGGCAGTATCTTGTCCCAGGGTGCTTGTTACAGGAGGTCATCTATATCTTCCTGGCACCAAGTCAGCAAATTTTCAATCCCATTTTTAACGTCCAACCCAGAGTAATGCTTCTAAACCAATGTGCTTTTCTCCAAGAACTTCTTGGGAGCTAGAAGGGATTCTCTTCCCACTAATGTCGGTGTGGACATAGTAATCATAACAGCCACTCTTTATTAAGCCTTAGCTAGGAGCCAGGATGCCATCATTTATTCCTCACTTAGAGATATAATCTCCTTTCTACAAATGGGGAAATGGAGACTCAGAGAGTTTCAGTGACTTGCCCAGGACATGCCACTTGTGGCAAAGTAGGCTATGAACCAGAATGCATGACACCAAAACCCATGCACTTGGTACAGGCTAACTTTTTCTTTTTCTTTTTTTGGTACGTGCCCCTAGCGGGAACCAAACCCGAACTCTCTTGTCCGCAGGCTGACACTCCAACCACTGAGCGAAACTGGCCAGGGAAAATAAAGTTTTGTTTGTTTGTTTGTTTTGGTACGTGCCCCTAGCAGGAACCAAACCCGGGACTCTCTGGTCTGCAGGCCGACACTCCAACTGCTGAGCCAAATCGGCCAGGGCAGGCTAGTTTTTTTGATTCTCTCTTCACACAGATCCTTATGGGCAAGCATAGTCCTGACTCCTGGTCCACCAGTGACTTGTCTTTCTCTTTGATTTTACATCAAATAGCAACCCTCTTCACAAAAAGCCAGGGGGTACTAACCGTTGTCATTAATTGCAAGTAACTCTCCAAACTGCAGAAACTGACATCTTCCTGCACAGGCTGATAGGAAGTCCTTCCTCTGGAACCAATTCTCCGTCACCCTCCCTCTTGCTGAGAAATGCCCTGGCAATTCCCTCCAAATCGCTAGGCACTTGGCTGGGTTCAAGTAGCCATGAGCTGCATTTTGGAGGAGGGCCAGATTTAGCCTACCTTAGGGAGAACTTGCAAAGATTCATAGCCAAATTCAAACTGGGGATTCTCAGGGGTAGCGCCTGTCACTGGGCAAGCCAAGAGTAATGGGGTCCTTGAGGGCAGTAGTACTCTAGGTGTTTGGTTCATACTTTGGGGGCTTTATGAATTGTTTCTAGGGTTCAACACACACTTCCGATGAGCCATGTGCAGCATTTTTAAATCTCCCTTATTTTTTCTTTATATATTGAAATTGTCAAAATTAAATGTGGGCTTGTATTGTTCTTTTAGGTCATGTCATAGTAACTATCATTTACCAAGATTTAGGTCTGGGATGGATATGGAAAATACACCAAAAAACTGATTCTTCACTATTAGAATTTTAAAGCCCATGATGGAAGCAAGCAAGTGGGGAGTTTGTTTTCCACTCTCTTTATTTACTTGCAAGTTTTAAATTCAATTAGAGAACAACAACATTTCAGAGTCCGGAACCCAGATCTCTGCATTTCCCATCCAATCCTGGATCCCAGCCCTGGTGGGTATACCAAGGAAGACAGAGTCAGAATAAAGCCAACAACTTTTATTATCATTCATGTATTTTATAGAAAAAAAAAGAGGGGGATGGGGAATGTAGCAAACTGGTCAGGGTGGTACCAAAAAAATGCAGGTTTGTACATGTTGCTCTATTTACACCGGGGAGCAGGCTCTCCCCCACATCACGCACAGCAGCTGCACTTGTCCGATGCTCCTTTGCAGACGCAGCCCTGGGCGCACTTGGCACAGCCCGCGGGGCAACAGGAGCAGCAGCCTGGAGGAGGGGAGGAGGCGGCAGTGATGAGCGTTTGGCATAAAAGATTAATAAGAAATCCCGTCCCACCGGACAGAGGTCATTGTGGAGGTGCCACCTTCCCTAAAGGGCTGTTTAAATTCCCCTCAGGGTGGAGTAGAGGGTAGGGGCGGGAGGGGCACTTAGGGAGAAGAGAGGATTCCACTCACTCTTCTGGCAGGAGGTGCATTTGCAGTCTTTGCATGTGCAGGAGCCGGCGCAGGTGCAGGAGCCACCTGCAAGAAGACAGACAGATGAGAACAGTCCCTGGAGACCTGAACGAGTGACGGGGTGCTAGGAGCCTGGGTTGGAGTCCCAGATCCACAATGAACCCAGCTCAACAACCAACTAAAACAGAGGCCAGTAGAGAAACTTAGACCAAACGCTTTAAGAACGGGGCCATTAGTACCCTGAAACCCAGTGATTGGGAAGAGCAAGAGGGTTCGAAAATAGCTTCTCTAGCTCAACACGGTGTCCCCAGCCCGGACCAGGTCCACTCACCGGTGGCGCAGGAGCAGTTGGGATCCATGGCGAGCTAGGCGGTAGCTGGAGTCCGGGAAGAGCTGAAAAAACCAGGCGCAAGGACTTGGAGGAGGCGTGCTGCCGGGAGGCGGGCGGCTTCCTTTATAGCGGGAAGGAGCCGCGCGAGTGCAAAGCCCGCTGGTGCCGGGCGCCGCCTGCACACGCCCGGCGATGAGTCAGTGGCGGCGGGGGGTGGGCGCACCGGGCCGAGCGCACCGGCTGTGCACACGGACTCGGGGTGACAGTTCCCAGAAGCAGCCCTACAGGCGCTCGGGGCGACCTCGGCGCACGTGGGGCCGGGTGCAGAGCTCTGACTAGGTGTTCGCCGCAGTCGGGCCGTGCGCCGAGCACCCAGGCTCTGCCTTCCCGCTGTGACCTTGGGCACAGTTTCCCCCGCCCCCGCGTGCTCCGTACTTGAACCCGAATGGTTAGAGAGCCGGTGAAAGCCTGCCTTAGGGATAAATAATCCACCGGAAGTGAGAACAGATTACAAAAAAACTCTTTGTACTTTAAAAGATTCAGTAATTGTGCAGCATCAAATTAAACCCGTGGGTCAGTTATTGGCATATCTTATCCACTGTATATACAGTACAGTGCTTTGATATGCAATAGCAAGTGTAGTAATCGAGTTGTGTGTGAGCTTTCATTTCATTCTGTATCAACACTGTGAGGTTAGGACTGTCTGTTACACCCATTTAAAGAGGAGGAGAGGGAGGTTAAGGAACTTGCCCGAGGTCACAGAGCTAGGGAATGGCAGAACCTAGTGATTCAAATTACAAGGCCCAGCAGATGCTGAAGTCCTTCTAAGGGTAGAATCACCCACGACAGGGGAGAATAAAAATCAAGAAACCTCAAGCCTTGTGCTCCTGAAACTCATGGTTATAGGGGCAGTGTCACAGGGGTCCAGGGAAAAGTGGTCCCAGGGTCATGGCGAGAATGGAAGGCACCCTCTGGGGCAGGGGGAGCAGAGAGGAGGCCCAGTCCAGCCTGGGAGGAAGTGGGCCAGCCAGGCGAGGAGGGTGAGAAGGTCTTGCCAGGCAGGGGAGGAAAAGGAGCAGAGGAAGCAGTCGGCTAGAAACTTGGCAGGTTCTGGAACACGTGGAAGGGAAAAACCCCGCAAGAGCTTTCTTCCCCAGTTGATGCTACGAGGAAGAGTCAGGAAATGGGTTACTGGAGGGTTCCTGGCAGGCTTAGGGGATGCTGGCTGCTGGGCAGGGAATTTAGTGAGGAGGCGTCAGGGAACAGGCTGTCCTTGCAGCATTCACTGTACCATTCTGTGGAAATGTCATCACAGCTCAAAACGTCACTTTCTCTGAGGAGCCCGACCTGACCCCCATGTCCGTGGAATGTGCTGGAAAACATCCTGTCCTTTTCCTCTCTGGAACTTTCCATGTCTGTAACATGTAGGAACTTGGGTGGTTCTCAGATTGGCATGGGTGTCCTTTCCCAACCCAGTGTGCCATTGAAAACTCCAAGAGCAGTCATTGACCCTGAAATGTGTCTCTAGCACCCGGCACAGAGCACATTTGCAGTAGGTGCTTCATAATATTTGTCAAGTAAATTATTAGGGGTAATTCCCTGGAGGGCTCCTCCCTTCCCAGCCTCCACCTTGCCTTAGGGCTGATTGCAAAATTAAAGTAAAAACTTTTCTTCCACGCCTCTGGGACTTGTGTGCTAACTCCAATGAAAACACCAAGTAGGGAGGGACATTTGGCCTGCCAGAGGGACTGGACTCTAATGGTCACTCTGCTGAGTGACCTGGGTCAGTTGTATGCCAGGGCCCCTCTGAGCCTCAGTATATTCCTCTGTGAAATGGTCAGAATGTATTAAAATTTGAGGGTCACATGCAAATGTTCTCTGATTTTAGAGCTAAGTTCCTGGAAACCTCATTGTGTCTGGCAGCCCTGGGGACTGAGAGTACTGAGGGGCTGCTCTTTGGCAGTGGGCCGGTCGTGTTGTTGATATTGACATATGCACATATATTATATGCAAAATTCCTGCTTTCTAATAAATCAGATGCCCATTTGTCCACTCAGTGGAAACAATCCAACTCTATGAAGAGAAAATTTGGCTTGTTTTTGCCCTGAAAATATTAAATCTAGCCCTGGGTTTGGGCCATCCATGTTAACAGTAAAACTTGCTTCCAGACTCAGCTATCTCTCTTGAATCATTTTGACTCTGCAAGGAGAGGGATGAGAAATCAGCAAAGGTGAAGGGGGGCCTGGGCCTTGCTCATCTCTACACCCCTGAAAGCTTCACTGTGCTTGGGACAGACATGGAGAGGGAAGAGTTTCTAATGTCTACATCCCTGACGTGGTAGAGGGCGTGAGAGATGAAGCCAAGCAGCATTAGATGGTGAAAAACATCTCTCTGCAAATCTGATGTGATTCTTCAGGGTGAAGCAGTAATACTAGCCTGCATTAATAGAAGTATGCTATCTGGAATCAAGGAGATGATTTTTTTTTATCCTCACTCGAGGACATTTTTTCATTTTTTGTTCAGATAGAGCAGGAGGGGGAGAGAGAGAGGGAGAGAGAGAGAGAGAGAGAGAGAGAGAGAGAGAGAGAGAGAGAGAGAAATATCGATGTGAAAGGTACACATCGAGTGGCTGCCACCTGCATGACCAACCAGGGCCGGGGACAAACTACAACCGAGGTACATGCCCTTAGCGGGAACCGAACCAGAGTCTCTCTGGACCGTAGGCTGACGCTCTAACCGCTGAGCCAAACCAGCCAGGGCAAGGAGATGATTTTTTACTCTCTTTTTACTGCTTTGGTGGATATTTATAGTTCTGCTGCCCAGCGATTCATTCACCTTTCCCCTGTGACTGTACTCTAGTTTTCTTTTGGACAATCACTCCTCCCCATTCTTAGTCCATATAATTTGGATGGAGTAAGCCTCATCTGTAAACTCCCAGGCCATTCTACCTCCTTGGCCACAGTCATTGGCTCTGATTGGGTCACCTAGCCACAAACCAAAGAGTCAGTGAAACTTTTGCTGGGAATACTGGGAAGATGGCAGTTACTCTTTCCAGATGAACCTGAGAGAATGTGAAGTTGAATTTCTAAAGCCTTTTTATCCCCATGAGAAAACCTAAAGTCATCACAAAGGAAATGGAGCATGACAACACCGCTGGAGCATCTGGATCCAGCCATGCCTGAAGGCATTATGAGTCAATCATTTCCTCTTGTTAAATCATTCTGGACAGATTCCTAACTGGCACAATTGGGCAGACCACCCTGAGGGCTGTGTTCATCATTGGGCTTCCACCCTCCAGAAGACTATTGATCACAATAGTCCTAAGACTCGAAACCCCATCATGTGAGCAACAGCCAAGAGGGGTGGGCTGGTTCAATCTGGAAAAAAATAGTTACCTTGAAATATTTCAACCATGGTTTCTCCAATTATCTGTGGCTATGCAACAAATTACTCCAAACTTAGAAGCTTAAAACAACAATCATTTTACTGTCTCTCCTGGTTTTGTGGGTCAGGAATTCCAACAGGGCTCATTTAGGGCACTCTTTTGTTTCATATGTCATTGACTGAGGTCATTTGGTGGCATTCAGTAGGTGGATGGGCCGGTCTGGAGGATCTAAGACAGCTTTAGTCCATATCTGGCAGGAATGGCTGGAGAGCTGGGCTCAGCTGCAACTATCGACCAGAACTCCCACATGTGGCCTCTTCAGCATGGTGGCCTCAGGGCAATTATGCTCCTTACATTCAGCTCAGAGCCCCAAAGGTGAGAGCCCCAAGCATAGGAGTGGTAGCTGTGAGTTTCTTGAGTCCTGGGCTCTGACACTAGCACAGGTCACTTTAAATACGTTCTGTTGGTTAAGAAGTCACAGAGCCTGCCCAGATTCAAGGGGAAAGAATGAAGACACCCTGTCTTGATGGAAGGAGTTGATGAATTTGCAGCCATCTCTAAGCTGCAACAGTAGTCATGGGGAATAATATTTAGCACCTACTATGCACCAGGCCTTGTGCTAAGGACATTCTGAGTTTATTTCCCCGAGACTTCAGCACAGCCCTCCAGGCAGACGCTGTTATCTCCATTTACAGATGAGGCACTGAAGAGTTACATGGCCTGCTCAGGATCTCACAGCTATAAGTGACAGCTCTGGGATTTGAACCCAGGACTTTTTGACTCTACACTTACATATTTATGCCACACTGAAAAGAGAAAATTAGGTTTGTACTCTGTGGTCCAAGGGCAGAACCAGGCCAGTGGGTGTGGGCTGCAGGAATAAAGATTTTGCTCTGGGTTGGAAAGGCCCTTCTTGCCATTAGAGCTGGCTACAACTGGAGGGGACCATCTTGAGAAATAACCCCATCACCACAGCAATAAAAACAGAGGTGGTGGATTCCAGTATTAGTAATGTAACGTATGTAATAGGAATAGAAACAAGTTAGGCCCTTTCTTCCTCGGAGAAGAGTGTGATTCTCTGGTCTCCATCACAGGTATCATCTGTCTGATCTTAATTATTCTTCCTCCTACTGACCTTGCCATAATTTAGGGGGTGCATTAGTTATTGATTGTTGCACAACAAACACCCCAAAACTGAGCAGCTAAGACAACACTCATGTATTTTCGGTGGGTCAGGAATCCAGATAAGGCTTAGGTGGGCCCTCAGGCCCTCACACAACAAGCCAGGTGTCAGTCAGGACTACAGTCATGGCAAGAATGACCTGGGTGGGACATGATCTGCTTCCAAGCCCCCTCGTGTGGCTGTTGGCACAATTTGGGTCCATGTGGGCATCGCACTGAGGCTTGGCTTCCTCCCAGGTTGTTGGCCAGAGGCCTCCCTCAGTTCCTTACCACGTGGGCCTCTGCAGAGAGCATCTCACAAGTTGATGGTGAGCAGGCAAGAGGGCAAGAGAGAGTCCAACAACAGAGTGTGAGCAAGACAGAAGACACGGTCGCTTGTAACCTAATCCCAGAAGTGCCTCTCATCACTTTGCAGTGCTCTATTTGTTGAAGAAATCACTAGGTCCAAGCCACATTCAAGGGGAAGGGTTACACTAGGGCATGGATAGCAGAGGTCAGGATCACTAAGGGCCACCTTGAAAGTCCATTTACATGGGTAAAGGCAATGGTATGTCGTCTGACTTCAGGCTCTTTGCCCAGAATACTCTCCCCATCCTTCTCTTCCCCTTCTGTTGAGTCTCAGTTTAAAGGTCATTTCCTTAGAATAGCCTTCCTGGACCCCAAAATAGGCTGAATCCTTCCATTACCAGTAAATGCACCCCCTCTCTGTAGCCCTTATGACAATGACAGTTACTAGTAGTTAAACAGCTCAACTTACAAAGCCCATGTCCTGTGCCAGGAACTCAGTAAGCACATGTGTGAATTCACCTAATCCTTCTGACAGCCCTATAAGATAGGGACTATTATGATCCATATTTTACAGAGGGGAAACTGAGGTTCAGAGAAGTCAAGCAATATTGCTCAAAGCCACTTGCCAGTAAGGGGCCAAATCAGACGGTCTAGCTCCGGAGCTAGTACACTTAGCCACTCTGCTACACAGCCTCTCTGGGCAGCTAATGCTATGTATGGCTTTTCAAATATTTTATTTTATTTTATTTTATTTATTTTTTTACTTTTTAGAGAGAGAGGAAGGGAGAGGGAGAGAGAGATATAGAAACATCGATGAGAGAGAACATCAACTGGCCGCCTACTGCATGCCCCCCACTGGGGATTGGGTCCACAACCTGGGCATGTGCCCTGACTGGGAATGAAACCAGCGACCTCTTGGTGCATGGTTCGACATTCAACCACTGAGCCACACTGGCCGGGCTTTATTGCTTTTTAGAGAGAGAAGAAGGGAGACGGAGAGAAAGTTTGGTATGAGAGTGAATATAGATCAGCTGCTTCCTGCACGCCCCCTCCTGGGATCGAGCCTGCAAGCCTGGCATATGCCCTGACTGGGAACTGAAACAGCAACCTTTTGGTGCCCGGGACAATAGCCAATGTGTACGGCTTTTTGTTTAATCTGTACCTCTCCCCAAAGGCTGTGGGCTGTGTCTGTCGTGTTCATTATCCTAGCTCTGGCACCTGGCACAGTGCCCAGCTCATGGTATAGATCATATTTTGTATCCAGTCATTGGTCAATGGATGCCTAGATTGCTTCTACCTTTTGGCTGTTGTGAATAATGCTGCTATGAACATGAGTGTACAAATATCTCTCTGAGAACTTGCTTTCAATTCTTTGGGGTATGTACCCTAAGTGGAATTGCTGGATGATATGGTAATTCTATTTTTAATTTTTTTGAGGAACCCCCATACTGTTTGGGGAGTGGCTGCATCATTTCACAAAGTTCCCAAGTTCACATCCTTGCCAACACTTATTTTCTGTTTTTTTTTGTTTGTTTGTTTTTGATAAGCAGGCATCTGCTATGTTCTGAATGTTTGTGTCCCCTGGGGCCTTTGGAAGATGCTTAGGCCATCAGGGTGGAGCTCTCACAAATGGGGTTAGTGCCCTAATGAAAGAGACCTCACAGAGCTCCCTAGTCCCTCCCACCATGTGAGGACAGAGTAAGTCTTCAGCCTAGAGGAGGGCCTTCCTCTGACCGTGCTTGCACTCTAATTTCAGACTTCTAGTTTCCAGAACTATAAGAAATGAATTTCTATTTTTTATGAGCTACCCAATCTGTGATATTTTGTTATGGCAGCCCAGCTGTACAAAGACCCCCATTTAAAAAAGTATAAAGTGATTTTAGCTTTTTAAAATATTTTTTTTTTCGTAACATAAGGCAAGCCAGAAGAGAGAAAACAAGCATGGCTAGGTTTAAAGGCCTAGACTTTAGTCAGACAGTCTGGGTTCAAATCCTGGCTTTACCACATTCTAGCTATGTGATCTGTTAAAAACGAGCAACAGGCCCAAAATGGAGTCACTCAGGCTTCATCAATGACTTAATTATAGTTTTGGCTCTCCCAGAAATGGGGTCTTAAACCATTCAATCAGGAATCACCTGAGCCCCACTAGTTAGGTAATCTGCCTGTTTGACCCCCGCCACCCCCTAAGGGAAAGTCACTTGGCAATAACCAACCCACTTTTTTGGTTTGTTTTGTTTTAGCCTATTATAATGTCCTTGCTCCTGCTCTTTTCTGCCTATGAAAGTCTTTCATTTTGTGCAGCTCCTTGGAGCTCCTTTCTAGCTGCCCAATTCTAATGGATTTTTGCTCAAATAAACTTAACATTTTTATTATGTCTCAGTTTATTTTTTAACAGACCTCATGCAAATTACCCTATTGCCCCATTTATAAAAGGGCTATCTATAGTAATCATACTAATCTTCTAGAGTTTAAGGCTCAAGTAAGGTAATGTACTTAAGGGGAATGAGCACAAGGTAATCTCAAGTTTATTAATCTTTTCTTTTATGTGTCTTATTTAAAAGAATTATCTCCGCCCTGGCCGGTTTGGCTCAGCGGGTAGAGCGTCGGCCTGCGGTTCAGAGAGGCCCGGGTTCGGTTCCCGCTAAGGGCATGTACTTCGGTTGCAGTTTGTCCCCGGCCCTGGTTGGTCGTGTGGGTGGCAGCCACTCGATGTGTCCCTTCACGTCGATGTTTCTGTCTCTCTCTCCCTTCCTCTCTATCTGTACAAAAAATGGAAAAATGTCCTCGGGTGAGGATAAAAAAAATAAATAAATAAAAATAAAACTATAAAAAAATAAAATAAAAATAAAAGAATTATCTCCACCCCACAGTAACATTCTCCTATCCTCCTCTTCCAAATTCTTTTAGAGCTTTGCTTCTTGATTTTTTTCATATGATATACAAAAGGGTGACCAACTATTCCAACACTTTCCACTGGCTAGTGAATCCTTTTGCCACTGACTTGATCATCTACATCTTCCAGCCACACAGGCGTCTGTTGTTTTCTTTTTCTTTTTTAACTTTTTACTGTGGTGGATGGTGGTTGTGGTGGTGGTGGGGTGGTGGGGTGAAATGGAGGGGTGGGGGGGTAGTCAGGCGGCTGTTTTGGACTCTCTGTCCAATCGATCTATTCCTGAGCCAACACCACATCCTAGAGCTTTAGAACAAGCAGTGCTAGCAAGTTAGAGCAAGACTTTTTTGTCGTTTCTTTACAAAACTGGCTTGGCTTTTCTTGCACTCTTTTTCTAAACTCAGCCTGTTAGGTTAAAAACAAATCCTGGTGGACTTTTTTTATCCTCACCCGAGGACATTTTTGCATTCATCTTCAGATTGAGCAAGAGGAGAGAGGGAGGAAGAGAGAAACATCTCACATCGACTGGTTGCCACTCACATGACCCCAACCGGGGCCGGGACTGGGGACAAACTGCAACCGAAATACGTGCCCTTAGCAGGAACCAAACCTGGAACTTTCTGGTCCGTGGGCTGATGCTCTAACCTCTGAGCTAAACCGGCCAGGGCCCTGGTGGACTTTTGAATGGACTGTTCTGAAAAACTAACTTGGAGGAAAACTAATGTGTTTACAGCATTGCGTCTTCCTACTGGAAAACCTTTCTCTCCAGATTCTATTTCTTCCTTCTCAGCCAACCCAGGTGGAGCTGGATGTCTTGTTTACCAAGGATCACAACCCCTGTGGATGAAAGCTCATATTGCCCTGCTTCCCTGTGAACAAAGAAGGAGCTGAGACAAATTGCCAAAGGAGAAGACTTAAAAAGGAGCTAAACACTCTGTTTCAGGGAGACAGGCTATTCAGGTCTGTGACCCTGGAAACTCAGCTGACAGTTGCCAAGACAGGCCCTGGGGCCTCCTGGACTTTCTTTAATGACTCTGGAAACAGACAGCTTTGTAGGAGCAACTAGAAAATTCCAGAAACTACAATCCTTTGGGGCTGGACTGGTTTTAATTCCCCCCAACCCCATTGTACAAATGAAGTGAGGTTGAGAGAGGTGAGGAGACAAACCTATGTGGGTCTGGTCTCCTCTCTTTCCTCAGAGTTGGTCTTGACTTAGCAGGAGGTTCAAGGGCCATCTGAGGGTGGGGAGGATGTACTCCGCACTCCATCTCAGCCCCATAGAACTGCAGCCAAGTCTCAACGTTTCACTTTTCAACTGGGCACCTCAGGTTAGGCATCCCCTCCCCTCACCCTACCCCCTGCCACATCCTTCCCCTTTAAGAAGAGACCAGTCTTTGGCTTATGCCATTCACAGAATTTATTGTCACTTGCCAGTAGCTAGCAGGGATCATAGACACACAGCTGAGCCTCCCCACAGGGAGAGGTGGCACTGGACCACCCAGCAGTATTTACAATAGTTCGAGGAGGGGCAGGTCCTCATCTTACTGGCAGCAGCTGCACTTCTGAGCCTCAGCCTCTGCCCCCTCTCCACCTTTGCACACACAATCCTTGGCGCATTTCTCGCACTCCGCGGGGCAGCAGGAGCAGCAGCCTGCAGATAAAACAGGGGGCAGCCAGTCTGATGGCCTCCCTCAACATCTGTTCCCATCAAAGGGGAGAAGGGAAAGGAGGGGTGCCAGGAGGTTGGTCGTTGTCCCTTCCTAGTCTCACACCTGGTTTGACTCAGCATCTAGGGTGTGTCAGCTGCCTGTAGGGGAGGGGTACCTAGCAACTAGCCCCCAGCCCCTTAGGTAAGTGCAGGTGAGGCAGGATGGTAAGAAGCTAGGAAAATTCCTTGGCAAGTGGAATGAGGAAACTGAGACAGATAGCTGAACAAACTGGCTGAGCACTTTACAGTTACATACGGGTCACTGAGGGAGGAAAGCCGTGGGTGCCTAGCAACAAGCAAAACGTGCCAGGCCTCACCCATGGTGGCCTTTCCTCCCCTGGCATATCACTGGTTATGTGGTTCAGACCCTCCCCTGACTTTTCCTCCTTAGAGATAGCATCTAGACCTCGTTTCAATTTCAGCTCCAGGCCCAGAAAAGCAGCAACACCAAGCGGCAGTGACTAATGACCCCCCTGCCCTGGCACTGGCCAATCAGTGGAGATCATGACCCTGAGAGGGCACACCTGGAAAAACCGAGGACTATTAAGATCTCCCCCGAGACCTCTCCTAAAAGCCCCACCTTTGGAAAGCAGATAAAACCCCTCAAGACAAAGAAGCCAGTGTGACCCTCCTTGGGTTATGTCCACTCAAATCTCCTTTGTGAGTGGATTCTCTTTCTCCTAACCTCTGAGGGTCCCCATGGACCTGCAACCAGAGGAGCAGTGGGCAGCGGCTCATTGTGGGCAAATCCCCTGGACCGTTCTCAAGGCTCCTCTTCTCTGACTCCCAGTGAGCCGCCAGCTGCCCTGCCTTGACTCTCCTGTTGCTTCTTCTCTCCGAGGCCCTTCCTGCTTCACTGTCCCCAGCTTTAATAAACACACTCTCAAAAGCACCTAGACTTGGGTCGTAAAATCTTTCCTTAAGGAAGTCAAGAACCCACACTCTACCAGCTGGCCAGAGGCCCAGTTCCCTTTGGTAACACAGGGGAGTCCAGGATGGTAGGGTCAGGCCCAGGCTGGGGGAGTGCTGGGCCTTAAGGAAAAAGCATCACAGGGTAAATGGCCCTGAGGAGAGTTTTGAAAGATAAATTTGGAGCAGAGATGGTACAGGCGTGGGGGTCCAGGAGACCTATGGGATCATCTGCCCCTAGTCTTACACACCATGGAAAGAGGGAGCTTTCCTCCCACCACCTAGTCCCCATGCACATTACACTGCTTCTGGCTCTGGAGATCTGAGGAAGGTCAAATTGAGGGGAATCCACAAAGGCCTGAGAGGGGACCAAGGGACAAGAACTCCAGAGCTAAAACCCTCACCAATGGCTTCCCCAGGCACTGGTTGTTTTAAGGGGAAGGGTTGGACCAGGGTAATAGTTCTCAGTTCCAGCTGCTAATTAGAATCTTCCAGGAATTTCCAAAACATCTTGCCCAGGTCTAGTGGATCAATCACTGAGGGTGGGGCCAGGGCAATTGTATCTTAAGGCCTCCCCAGGTGCTTCTGTCCCAGCAAGAGTCAGAAGCATTGGAACAGGGGGCCTAAGGGTCTCTCCATGTTGCGTGGACAGACTGGGGGAGCAGAGGGAGCAGGGCAGAGGGGTCCGCACACTCACTTTTCTTGCAGGAGGTGCATTTGCATCCCTCGCATTTGCAGGAGTCAGCACAGGTGCAGGAACCACCTAGAGAAGGAGAAATCACCGGAATGGGTTGGGTGGGGCCAGGCCTAAAGGGAGGAGGTGGGATACCAAACCTCAGTGCCCTTTGGGATATAGCCATGCCTACCCTTCACGAGGTTCAAAATAGGAAATAAAGGTCTCTTCCGCCAAATGTCCTTGACCAAAGCCATAGGGCATGGGATTCTTTACAAGTGAGGGGGCCGCTGGGCCGCAGCATGGGGTTGGGGGGCTCACCAGTAGGACAGGGGCAGGTCTCAGGGTCCATGTCGAGCAAAGATGCCGCAGGAGAGGGTGACTGGCTTCTGACAACTGGATGCTCTAGTAGCAGCAGATGATGCGGTTTTTATAGCCCCGGGCGGGGGCGCGCATGCACAGCCCGCGGCGCCCTGACTCCATCTGGGCTCGCAGGTTCCGGTGGAAGCGCGCATTGCGGCGGCGGCCCTCCCCCTCCCCCGCGCGGAGCTCCCCACTCTCCTCCCGGTGTGCAGCCACCCTACTTCTCACCGGGTGCACAGGGGAGGATACTCCTCACCCGGGTGCACGCCTCGGTGTGCACGGCTGGGGCCGCGTCCTCGAGCCGGGCTTCAGGGCTGGCGGAGCAGAACCCCCCGCCCCGGGCCCCACCGTGTGGGTGATTTGACTGGGCTGCGGGATGCCCAGAGAGCCGGTAAACAGCGTTTCTGCCCCTGTCGGTGAGAATGTTTCCAGAAGAGATTAGCACTGGAATTGCTGGTCTGGGTAAAGATTGCCTCCCCAGTGCGGCTGGGTGACAGCCAGTCTGTTGAGGGCCCGCCTAGGCTGAGGGAGGGCGAATTTCCTCTCTGCAGGAGCTGCCACCTCCATCTTCTCCCGGCGACAGTGGCGCCTCCTGGTTCTCCCGTTCCAACCCCGACCGAATGACACCACCTGCTGTCAGGGTTCTCCAGCTTGCAGGTGGAGGACGGTGGGGCCTGGCCTCCACAAGCATGTGAGCCAAATCCTGTAATAAATCTAGAATACATGCTAATACAGGCGCGCGCGCGCACGCACACACACGGTGAGGCAAAAGTAGCTTTACAGTGGTGAGTGCTCAAAACAGTTTATTCTTGTATTATTATTTATTAATTATTGTATTATTTTCCATACGAACAACTGTAAACTCATTTTACACCACCCTGTATCTCATATCAAGATCCATATAATTACTGGTTCTGTTTCTGTGGAGAACCCTAATACTCTAACCCACACACCCTAGGGTAACCAGGATCTTGAGGAGTCTGAAAACCACAACATCCTTCTGAAATACCCGCCCCCCCCCCCATTCTTCACACGGCTGGGCCCCTCATCCTTCAGTTCTCAGCTTCCATGACCTCTGAAGGGCATTTCATATAGGTGTATTGCTCCAGAGGGTCCTCCTCATCCCCACCTTTATTCCCCTCTGACTTCTTGTTAATTCTCACAACCTAAAAGTACTTTGTTCCCTCTGCCTGTGATTCTCTTCCCTTCTTTCTTTGCTTCTATGTCTTTGCTCAAATCTTACTGTCTCCGTGAAGCCCACCATGATCACTCTATTTAAAATTGCAACACACATCTGAAACCTCCAAGACTCCTGACCCTCATATCTTGCTCTGTCTTTTTTTTTTTTTCATAGCATAAAACACCTTCTGATAAACTAAATACTTCATTTGTAAAGTGTATGTGTGTCTGTCTTTCCTGCTAGAACATAAGCACCAGATCTTATAAGGAATCATTGCCTTTGTTCACAGACACATCTGAAGCACCTAGAGTGCTGTCCTGTACACTGAGACATTCAGGACACATTTATTGAATGAATGAATGAATGAATGAATGAATGGCTCTCAAGACAAGCTGGCTGGGTTCACAGTCTGACTCTCCACTTACTAGTAATGTGGTAAGTTACTAGCAAGTTGATTAACATTTCTATGCCTTGGGTTGCTCAAGGGTTTCATTTATTATTCCTAAATGGGAATACTAGTAGTTCCTACCTTATAGGTTTGCCAGGGGCTTAAATGACATGGCACTTGGAAAGCTGTCAGAGCAGGGCCCTAACCATGTTGGCTCTTAATCATTTACAAGTGAGTCTGAGCCCTGGAGGCGGCATCAAATTAGAATTCTGCAGGGAGCCTGGGATCCCCATAGCTTCTACCTGACACCCTGCTCCATTGTTGGCCTCAGCTTTGTGTCCCCTGAATTGCAGCTGCCTCCGACTGACACAGGACTGCAGGTGTCAGGTTGGACCAGCTAATTCACAGCCATCAGTCCTCACCCTGGATCCTACACCCAATCCTAGTGCGCTCTGGGAGAAGGGAGTACACAGACACTGTTTCTCTTTTCATTTAGATTGGGGCCCGGAGGCGGGACCAGGTAGGCAGCGATCACTCAGAGTCACACCAGCTAATAGACTGATCCCCAAATGATCTCAGAAAAAAGCAGAGTCCAGCAAGTCCCACCCTAGTTGAAATTGGTCTAGTGCAGGATTAAGACTGTTGTGTTACCATCAAAAGGTTTCCTGATTTACTAGCCTGGGACTGAACAATTGGCAAGGAGTTTAAAAGCCTGGGTAAACAGTAGTGGACAAAAAGAGTTTGCAAATATGCTTATCTGCAAATAAAGTCATTTCTTGGAGGGGTCTGGATTTATTCATAAAATGAATATTGAATGAGCAATTCTATTCACCGGGGCAGTGGAAGTAGGAGAAGGGGCACTGATCTAGGAACCCCATGATTTCCAGTTCCAGCTCTTCCAATAATTAGCTTTGTGAACTCAAGGGAGTCTCTCCTAACTTTGTGCCCCAGGTTTCACATGGGTCGACCAGGTGACTGCTAGTAGCTAACGTGGTTAACGTCTACCACTTGCTGGGCACTTACTGTGTACTAGGCACCATACTGAGCACCATCTGGAGCTAAACACTTCACATATTATCTCATTGACTCCTTCCAATTACCTTTATGGTAGTCTGTATTAACCCATTTTGTAGGTGAGGAAACTGAGGCTCAGAGAGAGTAAGTGATTTGCCCAGGAAGCAGAGTTATTTAATAAAATATCAAGACATAGTAAAATAAGTGCAGCTAGGAGAATGCATAGAGTGGTAGCACCCATGCCTTTTTACATAAACTATTCTCTCTTCGCTTGCTCCCTTCCTTATTAGCCCCACCCTGCTCAGGTCTGGGGCCAGACTGCATCCCTTCTAGGAATGACCCTGGGGCAGCTTTACCTAGCATCAAAGTTCTCTCTCACACTTCACCTTATTTCAGGGATTCTCAGCCATGAGCGATTTTACCCCCTGGGGGACATTTGGCAATGTCTGGAAGTAGTTTTGGGGGCTGTAGTGATGCTACTGGCACGTGATAGGTAGAGGCCAAGGATGCTGTTAAACATCCTGCAGTGCACAGGATAACTTCTCCAGACAGGATTGTCTGCCCCAAACGTCAAAAGTGCCATTGGTGTAAGAAATGTCCAAACCTGTAGAGAATTTTTACACAAATTTATTTGAACCAAATGGAGGATATGCCTGGAAGCAAGACCTCAACAGACTGAAAGAAATGCTTCCTAGAACAACAGTTTGAAGTTTCTTTTATTAAGGAGCAAATGTAAGGAAGGTTCCAAGAAGGTGAAAGAAAGCAAGGCAGGGATCAGATTACAAAATAGCTAAGATTATGTGCTCTCTTTAAGGTGGTCACTCTTTAGAAGGAAGAGTTGGGGTAGGGGGGCATTTCAAAGGTGTGTTACCCTAGATGTACAGAAACAATGGACAGGGCTTGCTTAAGGCAAAGATAAGCCTTCTACTAAAGACGTTATGTGCCTGGGGTATGGCTACTCAACATGACCTGCCCAGTTAGGAATTTATGATCAGATCATCCTGGGAAGTTACTTTCCATAGAACCCCCTTTTCATCCACAGTGCTGAGGTTGAGAAACCCTGTTTTACCTTATCCTAGAACAGCTCCAAGATGATTTTTAGCAACTCAGACAAGTAGGGAAGAGAGCCAGAACAAGAATGCCTGCTCTCCAGCCCCTGCCTTGTCACCAACGTGCAGCTGTGGACCTGTGGTTCGTTGTCTGGCGAAGCGGATAGTCAGGGCTGGCCCTGCCTCCTTGACAGAGGTGTCTGGGGCCTGAAATCTGAGAAAGCGAGAGCCCTTGGCCAGGGGAAGTGGATGGTGAGGCTGGGCATGGAGGGGAGGGAAACCACCATCTAGCCTATTGTAGTCACATGGCCAAAATTTTCCAAGATGGATTCAATTTCAAGTATTCTGTCCTTTCCTTGTCTTCAAAAGTAAATTGGACAATTCAGGTCATGTGTGCCTCAGATTCAAAAGTGCCCGGTTCTAGCTCCCTCCCCCTCTTCTTTCTTTATTGTATAAATTTTTGGAAAATTAAAAATATACAAAATAATCCTTTCAAATATAAAAATAGAAGGCTATAATACCCACTGATTTATAAATGACCTTTTCCAATATTTATCAGATTATAAATATCAGTCCCTGAAATTCGTTTCACTTCTACAATTTTATTTTAATAGATTCATTTCACAGTCTATTTAACCAATCCCCTACTCTGGGACTTTTTTGTTGTTTCCAAATCTCCACTATTATAATTCATACTGTGATAAACATCTTAGAGGCTTTTGTGTGGGTTAATTCATGATTTTTTCCTTAGGAGACAACATTTTTTAAAGGAGAATTTCTGGCTCAAAGTATACATATTTTTTTCTTTTCAAGCAGTATTTATTTATTTTAATAAAGGCTATGTCAGTAAAATTTGGAAAATTCCAAAAAATAGAAAGAAAAATACCTATGATTTGAACACAACCATTGTTAACATTTTAGTATATTTCATTTTCACATTTTGTATTCTATGTGGCTTCTCTTTTGAAAAAATTTACTGTATAACTCATTTGTAGCCTATAATTTGTTTAAGATTTTACCATAATCATTTCCTGTGCATTTTTAGTGGCTTTGTCATAGCTTATCATGTGCACAGACCACAGCTCACTTGAACAACTTTATAGACTTAGACTAGAGGTTGTTTCCAGTTTTTCACAATCATAAATAGTACTGAAGTGAATCTTTTTGTGAGTGAGGCTCCCCCCACCCCCCTGAATTTGTGGTGAATTCCTTAAAATAGATTTCCAGAAGGGAAACTATTGGGTCAAATGGGACGAAACATTTCTGTGGTTCAGTGATATGCATTGCCAGATTATTTTAAAAGCCGAATGCCCTGTGAATCTGGGTGGTTTACATATAAGGTCTTTGATACCTATGGCTTCATTGGCTCCTGGGACGCTTGTCTTGATTTATCATCCTAGCATTTGTGTCTGAGGAGTCTAGGCCCTTTCTGGGATGTTTGGGCCCCAAACTCAGCCAGACTGTGGCAGGAACAACCTCCTCAACCCTCCTACAATTCCCAAGGGCTCAAGGTACTCCTGCCTCAGCTGCTTCTGGGCCTGAAGCGCCCCCTGCAGTTCACATGAGGAACTTCCTTCCTCGTCCTGGAACCTGGGCTCCGTTCCTTTCCCACCAAGCCCAGCTCTGGTCTCCATCCAAGCTGGAATATGTCCTGAGCAGGTGCACAGTCTGTCACAGCCTGTAGGAGGTCTCCATTGCCTTTCGTAGGCAACACAGGAACACAATCCATGATATGCCAGCCTCTGACACAGCACTTTACTGCTCCAGGAAACTCTGCCATGAGAAAGCTCTTTTTTTCCTTGACCTCACATCTGCTTCCTTGGTGTTTCCTCTGCTCAAGTTTTACCCCTTCAAGGTCACTTGTAACCAGTCTGCTTATTTTTCACTTTAGCTACCCCCGACCTCCCTATCTTCCCATAGGGTCTCCAAGCTTCTCTCTGAACTAGTCCTGCCTGAGTCTTCTCTGAGTCTGTTTCATCACCTGTAGAATGTAGAATAACCCTGCAGGATTATTACAAAGATTAGCAATTATACCAGTAAAAAGCCTAGCCCAGACTTCAGCTCAAGATGGTAGACTGAAAACATGCATTTACCGTTCCTTCTTCCTTCAAATCTATCCAAAGAAACTTTAAAAAGGCAGGGAGGAAAAAAAGAAAAACTAATGAAAGAGCTGAGCATTGGAGTCGGTGGAGGAGAGACTGTTCCATGATGTGATGGCTGCCTAGCTGCTGCCAGACTCTTATGCTAGATCCAGTTAGATCCCGGCAGACAAAGATTGCTTCCTGGAATCCCCACTCACCTGTCGCCTCTGCCCCAGGTGTGCTGGTTCCTGGAATGGAACCAACAGCCCTTCCTCAGGCAAGCATTTTCCCCCTTATCTGGGGTGGGTCACACCCCAGTACCCCTATTCATCTTGCCCTGTCCTATATAATCTTTTAGCACTTGCCACATGGTGCAGAGGACATCTATGTCATCTTGCTGTGCCCCAGATGAGCCTCATCTGTATGTAAGTTTCCTTAATAAACTCTTAATGTAATGATGGAGTTGTTAACCTCCTTCTTTGGTCTCACCACCTGAGAAATTTTACATAACAGTGTGAGAGAGGATGACTTGGACAACTATATCAATGAGTCAGAGTTTAATTCCAGAGTTTTCTGGAATATTAAAATGGGTCAAATCACATTTATGAGTAAATAGGAGCAGGAAAAACCACAGCTCAGATCAAGAAGTAGAGAGAAGTCAATGAGGGATTTGTCTGGTGTTAGTTAGGAGAGCAGAAGATGAAGGAGCTGCAGAAACCAGGATGGTGTCTAATGGAAGATGTGGTTGTATACTGTACCTGCCAGGTGGTCCTCAGGTTGGCCTTCTTCACCTCCACTGCACAGCTCCACCATTTGCCCCCAGGCTAAGACTTTCTCCCAAAAAATGGAGTAACCAGTCTAGGAGGGGACAGGGCTCCCAGGAGAGGGTTAACGAAGGGCCAACTTCTACCTGGGCATGCTAAAACCAAGTCTGCCAGTTAACAAGCCCTGTTCATACTCACAGAGCCTGCCTTCAGCTCAAAGCAGCAAAAATGGTTTAAGAAAAAGAAAACAATAATAAAAAGAAAAAGAATCCTTAACTCATCAGAGAGATTCAGGAAATTACTTTATTCAAAAATAAAAACAGGGTATCATGATAAAGAAACATTCAGAGAAGTTCTTATATATTAAAATATGATTGACAGAATTTTAAAAGATCAATAAAAGGTTGGCAAAAAGGCTGAGAAATTTCCCAAAGGCTTCCCAGGAGAAATAAAGGGAAGATCATGTTAGGGTTCATAATGAGGCAGGATAGTAAGAAGCTAGGAAAATTCCTTGGCAAGTAGAATGAGGAAAACTGAGACAGGTAGTTAAAACAGCTGAGCAATTTAAAGCAGATAATAAATCATAAGGTCTTATCTTCCCTAACCAAGGACATTTAGGTACAAATGGTTTATCTGTTCCAGATTCTGCCAGGACAGGCCCACCTCAGTTCCGGTCCCTCTTTGGTGACATTTTTTGAAGGTAAAACCATCCAGAGAATGACTATGACTCTATACACTCATTTTGATGAATCAACATATTAAAGGACACACCCGGACAGCTGATGAATATTCTATTGAGATCCTCCCCTGAGACCTCCCCTAAGACCTTCAGAAAACAGATAAAAACTCTTAAGACAAAGGACCCAGTGTGTGCTCTCCCTGGAGCAAGCCCAGGAGCAGGCCCTTGCCCACTCCACTCTTCTGTGTAACCTTGGACAAGTCATTTGACCTCTATGTGCCTTGATTTCTTTACCTGTGAACTTGGGTCGTTTTGTAACAATTAAATGGAAATAATGCAAGGGAGATGTTGGATTCAGTGCCTGGTAGGTAGTGATTACTCAATATTTAATTAATTAATTAATTAATTTTTAATCCTCACCTGAGGATATTTTTCTGTTAATTTTTTTTTTTTTAGAGGGAGAGAGGAAGAGAGAGATAGAAACATCAATGTGAGAGCCCAACCGGTGTGGTTCAGTGGTTGAGCATCAACCCATGAACCAAGAGGTTGCTGGTTCAATTCCTGGTCAGGGCACAAGGGCACATGCCCAGGTTGTGGGCCAAATCCCCAGTGTGGGGCATGCAGGAGGTGGCCAAGTGATGTTCTCTCTCATCGATGTTTCTGTCTCTCCCTCTCCCTCTAAAATCAATATAAAAAAAGAATAATAAAAAAAGAAAGAAAAATTGATGTGAGAGAGATCGACTGCCTGTTGCATGCCTCCTGGTGGGGATTGAGCCTGCAACTTGGGCATGTGCCCTGTCCAGGAATCGAACCGGGACATCTCAGTCCATGGGATGATGCTCAATCCACTGAGCCACACCGGCTGGGCATGAACCACACATTTTTAATGGAGAATTCCTGTGGGGCTCAGAGATGGCTTCAGGGGCCTGTGAATTCCTTACGATCATATGTAAAATTGAGTGAGGGTACTGGTATGTGTACTTTTAGGAAGAGGCCGGTTCATCACTGTCAGTGAATTATGGGTTCTTAGAGGTATTTATGACCCCTTCGTAGCATGGGCCCAGGCACCGTGCTGGGCTCAGTGAGCCAGAAAAAGACCAAAAGACTTCACAGCCTCAGTTGCTGTTAGAAGCTCTACCATGGCAGGAGTTTTTGCCTTATCTTCCATATATAGTTTTTATTTTTATTTATCGATTTTGGAGAGTGAGAGAGAGAGAGAGAGAGACATTGACTTATTATTCCACTTATTCATGCATTCATTGGTTGATTCTTATATGTGCCCTGAGCAGGAATCAAACCCACAACTTTGGTATGTCAGGATGAGGCTCTAACCAACTAAGCTACCCAGCTAGGGCTCTCCCATAGTTTTATTTATTTTTATTTTTTATTAATTAATTTTTGTTACAGATGTTTCTCCTTTATCCCCCACTGATTCCCCCCTCCCTGCCCTCCCTGCCCTGTCCTCAGCTTTGTTGTCCATGTCCATTGTTCTCTCCCATAGTTTTTAAACCATTTATTTCATGCAGTTTTTTTTCTTCTTTTGTCAACTTATTTTTTGGTGGTTTATCTTTTTAATTTTTCCTTCCACTTTTCTTCTCTCTTTGCGGGAAAAAAAAGGACTTGGAAAAGCATTTATTATATAAAGAAAAACACTTGCCAAGTTTCCCAGGGTATGTAGTACACTGTCGCATGCACGCACACATGTGTGTGTGATGCTGTGTCATACATGCTTGTCCAGGCATGAGCTGTCCCTGGAAATTTCCACCACTAAGTCATTACAGTAGTTGTCTTAGGGAGGAGAAAGTGGGCACAGAAGTGAGCAGAGACTTACGCCCTTTATATCGTTTGTGTTTTGTAGATTAGGTAGGTGGATCTATTTAGAAATAACTACTTAAAAAAAAAAAAATCAAGTATTTCTCCAGACAACTCACCCTGCTGCAGAGCTATCGTAGGGATTAAATGAGAGCGTGTGTATAAAATGCTCAGTATGGTGGCTGGTGCATCCCAGGGACCCATAGTGGCTGCACTTACCCTGAAACTTCACTGAACTTGTGTTGAGGCAGGGGGAGCTCTCATATATATCGCCATCTGGGGGAAATCGTGAAAACCTCAGTTTCTCTTTACATTGACTTCTGTAAAATGCAAGAACTCCAGTGACCAGCACCAATTTCTCCTGGTCTATGTCTGCCCAGTCACCCCGTCCTGAAGGTTGGCCCAAATAACCAAACCAGGGCAACTGATGCCCTTAGTGTCTTGGTCTTGAGGATTTCCATTAGATCCGCACAGACCTCCCAGCTGTTCATGGCTGATTGATTCAATGCTAAAGTCCCTTAAACAGCACTATTAACACCACGAGGCATTCTGGACCAACACTATGCCAGGAGAGCCTGGCTAAGATTGGGTTAGCCCCAAAGTAGACCCTGTACAAGTAGTTTCTTTGGGTGGGGACCCCAGAAAGCACTGGTAGGAGAATGGAGAAGCAAGGCAGAGAAGGAAGAAAGCCAATATGGGGTGTGTTAATGGGCAGGTTACTGCAGTGGGCTATTGGGGCTCAGTGCTGCTGGGGACTTCTGGGGGATGGTGTGGACCAGGTCTCAAATTTGTGCCATTGTAAGGTTAAAAATACAGGGGGTATTTATTTTATCTACTAACTGCTATTTGTCATCATTTAAGGGCTTTTCCCAGTGGCCTTGACTCCACAGGCCTCCCGACCTAACCCCCACTTGCCTCAAGGAAGCTCAGGCAGCAGGGGCGAGCCCTAGGGCAGACTTGCAGGAGCCTGTGGTCAGCAGCCAAGTGCAAAAGGGACGCAGGCTGGCCACCACCTTATCTGCAATGAAGTCAGCCCTTCTTGGTCCTTCTGGGTTGGGGTCAAACAGGGCTCTGATCACCAGACAACCATGAGTGAAAACTTTATTGCTCCAAGCACTTTACATGAATGTCACCAACACCTCATTGGGGCAAATATATAAAAAGCACAATCATCTCAACTTTTCAACTAATGCACTGTACAGAAGCTTCCCAGGCCTCCCCCTCAGCACGACGGATGCATTTCAGTGGCAGCAGCTGCACTTGCTTGAGCCTCCTTTGCAGATGCAGCCCCGAGCACACTTGGCACAGCCTGGGGGACAGCAGGAGCAGCAGCCTGGAAGGGTCAGGAGATGAACAGATCAGCTTTGGGTACACACTGCTCTCTTACCTTCTCCTCCCAGCATTTAGAGGAAATAGGTAAAGAAGAGCCTGCCACAGGCTTTAATCCACAGTCACCAAAACCCTGGGCCTGGGATCAGAAGTTGTGGGATGTTGGAGCCAGAAGGGATCTCAGAGGCCACGCAGAGTCCATCAGAGGACCCAAGAAGGGGGGCGGTTTACCCTGGCTGGTGTGGCTCAGTGGTTGGAGCATCGGCCTGTGGACCAGAGAGTCCCGGGTTCGGTTTCTGCTAGGGGCACGTACCAATAAATAAATAATTAAATAAATAAATGAATGAATAAAAATAAAGAAGGGGAGGGGTTTGCCCAAGGTTGTTGGACAGCAGCTGATCTGAGACCAAAACCCAGAGCTCATGACTCCAGGCCAGTGCTCTCTCCCCTTCTCCCCTGAGCAGGCTGGAACCACCCCTCAGTCCTCTTCCTACTCCAAACACCTGAAACACTGTGGATACCCTCATCCCCTGGTGGGCAGCAGCCCCGGAAGCCCCGCTTTCATTTCAGACAGCTCCCGAATGTATAACAGGCATCCGATCCCCCTCCCTCCCCCCATGGCTGGAGGGTTGAGGATGAACAGACTTTCCAGCTCCTGGCCCAAGTTGCCCGGTCACCATACTCACTTTTTCGGCATGTTTTACAGTTGCAGGTTGTGCATTTGCAGTCGTCCCCACAGATGCAGATTCCTCCTAGGAGCGAGGACAGAGTCACAAACATGAGGACTGAGGTGAGTGGGGAACACAGGGTGGCTCGGTTTCTGAGCTGTCCCTGGCTGCTGGACAAGAGGGGGAGATGCTGCTGAGCATCACCCCAATGGAGAGGACCATCCAGTGGTTCCCAGTCACAGTCCACACACAGAAACCCGTGTGGCTCCCTCAGCACTTCCCAGGATCCTTGTTAAATGTAGATTCCTGGGACCAAACTTGGAGATGTTCTGATTCAAAGGTCAGGGTGGGGAAAGGGAGTCAATATTTTTATTTTATTTATTTTTGGCTTCTCTTTTCTTTCATTTATTTCTTTTTCTTTATTGATTTTAGAGAGAGAGGAAAGAAGGAGAAAGAGATAGAAACATCAATGAGAGAGAACATTGACTGCCTGTCTCCTGCATGCCCCTCACTGGGGATCAGGCCCACAACCTGGGCATATGCCCTGACTAGGAATCAAATTGGTGACCTCTTGGTGCATGGGTGATGCTCAGCCACTGAGCCACGCCAGCCAGGCAGGAGTCAGTATTTTTAGAAAGCAACACAAATAATTCTGCTGTAGAATCAGGTTTGAGAACCACTGGACTGGGCAACTCCACCAAGCCTAAGGTCCCCCAGGGACAGTTGAAGCCTTTTCTACCCTCTTCTCCTTTTCAGGGCACCAGGCAAGATGGAAACCCTGAATAGTTAGGAAGGATATAAGCTCAAAATGACAGTTACAGGCACTATTGTTTCCATATCATAAAAATCATTTATGGGTTTAAAAAAAGCATTTCACCTACTGTCAAGATGCTTGTAGCTCTCATCTCTTTGGCACAGTTTTGGTACAGACACGTCCTGCTAAGGACCATGTGAGCCTCCTTCATACCACGTCTCATGGCCACACAACTCAGGCCGGCTCTGAACCCCACCCCTCTCCTCCAGGCCACATGCGTCACTGGAATGAAGCGGGTTCAGAGACTCGGGAGTCCACATATGCTTTTGATGACTCCCTCGACACCTGCAAGTGCTTTATGATTACAGCACTTCCACAGCTTCCCTGGGAGGTGGGCAGTGGGGGCTGAGTCCTTTTCAGGTGCGGAAACTGAGGCCTGGAAAGAAGTGTCAGCAGTGATGGCAGCAATGAACCAAAACCAGGTTTCCAGGATCTGGGCCGGAGCTCTTCCCCCATTCTGGTGGCTGCCTTAGGGGCCTGCTGCTCAGTCTCCCCACAGTCATTCCAGAGCCAGCCTTTCAATTCTAGCAAACAGGCTGCTGGCCCACAGACAGGGAGCTGCCCCAGAGGTCCCCAGTCTGGAACAAACACCACTGGTGGCTCCTAACTGCAGGAAGACAAGCATTAATCGGAGAACTGAAGGCTCCCTGGAGGAAGCGAGGGCAAGGTCCCAAAGCCCAAGGGTGGGTGTCCCTACTCACCAGACATGCAGGAGCATTCCCTGGGGTCCATGGTCCAGGTGTCCTAGAGGCTCCAGTGTGTCTGCACTGGAGCAGGGAGGCTGAGACAGCAGCCGCAGGAGGCTGCCTATTTATAGCCGTGTAGCTGTAGGTGTAGGTTCACCCCACCTCTCCCTGGGGCCAGACGCCTTGCACACGGCCGGGCCAGACACCACAGCTCAGGGGTTGGGGAGAGCAGACAGAAGAAGGGCAGAGGAGAGCAAGAGCAGCACAGTCACTCGGGTGGTTTTCATCACAAAGGATGCAGGTGACTGCCCCCACCCACCTGCCCATCTGCCAAGGTGTCAGGAATCCAGGCTTGGGCTCAATGGCACTTGCAGGGCTCAGCTTGGCAGCTACATCCATCCAGTTTCCCTGTCCTGTGTATTCTATTACCCGCCATTTCTGGTTCCTCCTTCACAGGGGCTGCTCCTGCCCTGGCTCAGGGTCTCATTCTGTCTCCCCTGGTTGGGCAGGAGGGATCCTAGGTTCTGGGCCCTCTCCTGGATGTGACTCCCAGTCCCCATGGGTGAGAAGGCCAGAAGCCAGGGCATGTGCCCACCTAGAGCCTGCAACCTCTCCTTCTTCTAGAGCACACATGGAGGACCCAGTGTTCACCCCCAGCCCACTTGCTTCCAAGGGTTTGCTCAATCCTCCCCTAGGCTCCCAAGTGTAGAAGTATGGCTAATGTGTGTCCTTCTAAGCCTGAGGGCGGCGGGGGTGGCTATTTGCAGGGTGCCAACAGAGTTTGGATGCGTGGGCTGTGTGTGTGAGGCCTCTCGCAGTGAGGGAAGGAGCTAGGTGTGGGAAGAAAAGGGAAGTGGGCCTCAGGTTGGGGTTTGGGGCCACGAGGCAGGTCTGCACCTCTGTGCTCTGATGTGAGCATCTGAGATTCACACATTTGAACCTGGCCGTCCAGGTTGCCATGAAAGTCTCTGTCAAGGTAGGAAGATAGAACATATTTTACTTGTTTGTTAATTTGATTCATAACTTTTACATCTTTAGCCAAGTGGTAGTAGACTCAGTCGTACTCTTGCTCTGCCTCCCTAAACATTAGGAAAGGCCTGAAATAGCCCTGTGATCTCGGCCTCTCCTCTGCATTCTCTACACTGGCCCAGAGCAGCATCAGGCTTGTTGCGCTCTTGCTCAGAATCCTCAGTGGCTCCCCACATGTGTTGAATGAAACCGAACATCTTAACCTTGCATTTCAAGCTCAACTTACCTTTCCAAACTCATTGCCCACTACATCCTTCTATCTGTTCCACCAAAACCTTGGCCCTCCAGGATCCCTGTAATTGCCTTGAACTTCCCAGGCCTTTGCTCCTGTCAGGTGTTCATATTCTGCCTATCACCTTGTGTTCAAATAAATCCTCCCCATACTGAGGCATGTGCTCTAATGCCATTTCTTGGGTGGTAGAAGCAAGAGAGAAGTTGGGGGAGATTTAACCACTCCCCAATCTCTACTATAACCCCATTCTTTGATATAGACAGCTAACTACTTTCAGTCTTATGCAAAGTGCCCTCCAGATGATACAACTTCAAGCTTCCCCTACCAGCTGCCATCCTCACCCTCTTTCCATATAGAAATTCTGGACCTGCTGCTGATTGTACTTCTTCCAGGAAGCTGCCTCCGATTTCTCCTCTTGGCTGGAAGAAATCTCTTCCTCTGTGGTGCCTCATTGATGTGTTTGTACATTTCTCACAACATTTACTACTTCTATTCTGCTCAGTGTGATTATTTGTGTTCATGGCTCTTGTGCCCTTCATCCCCATCTGGGAGCTCTCAGGGGCGAGACCTGTGTCTAAAGCATCTCTATGTCCATACAATGTTTTTACAACATTTAGTGGATGTTGAATGAATCAATGAGTGAATGAATCAATGAATCAATGAGTCAATCAATCAGATGAATAGCTGAATGACTGAAGATATAAATGAAAGTGTGAGTGAGCATATAAGTGAAGACATGAATGAGTGAATGGATGATGAGTGGACAAATGCATGAGTCTCCTGCATGTGGGTACTGAGGACCTTTGCTGGAAAATGCTGTCACCATTCAGAAAGGCAGAAAAAAGGAAGGGGGACTGGCCATAACCAATGGAGAGAGTCCCTCCCAGCTTGAAGTCCTTCAACACTCATCCATAAAGACCACCAGGCCTCAGGCTGACCCATGGAACCATGGGTTTGAGCTGAGAACTTCTAGTGAGGAGGAGGGATTCAGCCTTACGGTCATCTGCAGGGCGCTGGGGAGGGCGACGTAAGGGTAATATTGTAGTGATCCCAGATGGTCCCTGCGAGAAAGGAGTTCACAGCTAGTAGGGCACATTCATTCATTCTCGACAACTTCCAAGGGCCAGCACTGAGCTTTTAGTTCAGAAGGTCAGGAGGACGTCTCAGCTCAGGAAACCTACAACTGGGCAGGGCTGCTCTCAGAGTCCAGAGGCTGGAACCATCTTCCTGAGCCTGCATTCCCAGCCCAGTCCCAGCCCGTCTCTTGGCAGGATCAGCTTTCCTGTACACCTAGGGTGTGCCATCTCATCAATAATAATGCCTAAGCCCTGGCCAGTTTGGCTCAGCAGTTAGAGCGTCGGCCTGTGGTCCAGAGAGACCTGGGTTCGGTTCCCGCTAAGGGCACATACCTCGGTTGCAGTTTGTCCCCGGCCCCAGTTGGGGTTGTGTGGGTGGCAACCACTTGATGTGTCTCTCTCACATCGATGTTTCTTTCTCTCTGTCTCTCTCCCACTCTATCTGAACAAAAAATGGAAAAATGTCCTCAGGTGAGGATAATAAATAAATAAATAAATAAATAAATAAAGCCTTAGACAGTCTGGCCCAACCGAGTGAGCCTAGGGAGAGATAGGGATTTTCCTTTACCCTTGTCAAGCCACCTCTCTGCCCTCCTTGCTACCTATGAATTGCCGCCTGTGAATTCACAGTACCTGTGAGCTACCTTTCTCAATACCTGTCCAGGAATTGTTTCTTCCTTGGGCAACTGATGCTCTGATGTTGCTTAATGCCCCAATGGAATAATAGCAAAGTCCGCTTCCCTAGCATGAAGAAATTTCCCCATCCGGGGCTGTGCATGTTGAAATGACCATGTTTCAAGCAGTCAAGTCCATGCTGAACTGTGCCCCTGGCTGTCCAGTTCCCTTTACATAGTCCTTGCCCACATCCACATGCCCCTTCACACTGTGGCCCATCTTCTAGGTCCCAGCTCCTGATCTCCGTGTGGCAGAAGGGGAACAGAAACACACATGCCACCCCAAGAACAAGCAACGGCTGGTGGGCACAGCTTACACCCACACTTAGAAAACAGCAACTATTGCTCTAGAGACATGATCTCAGGGGATTCAAGGGGCCCTCTAAAATCTGATGAGAACTCTGAACCCTCTACCCCCCGTTTACCCCCCTAAAAAGCATGAATACTCAAATACTTTCCCACAAGTTCAAGGATTTTGTGGATCTCCTGAATCCCATTGGTGGCCTCTGCCCCCGGGGTCCTGAGTTAAGAGCTGTTCTGAAGGCCTGTGGGGAACAGCAGTGGGGTGGAGGGGGCTAATGGGGGTAGAAGAGGGGGCATCTGTAATACTTTCAACAATAGAGATAAATGTTTATAGAAAGAACTCTTCTGCGAAGAAGCAATCTGCCTGCGACATCTGTTATCACACAGCAGTTGTAGCTTCTTGGAGCCACTCAGCCCAAAATAGCTCCTTCTCCAGTCATGACCTCCACTTGAGGCATAAGTCACGTCAACTGGTTTTTCCAGAAAAGTGAAACAGGTTGTTCCAAAGCAGCAGCGAATGCTCCACTGCTTACAAAACACAGAGTGATGGGTTTCATCTTCTTCCCTTCCCATAAAAGCTGAAGATGTGCTGTTCCTGTGCCCAGCAGTTTCTGCTAGAAAGAAGTTTCTGGCACTCATGGCTTAGGAATGAAGGTTCAGCCACGAGATGATGGCAGAGACAGGTCCCCCGCCATGACTCCACACTGTGGCCATGCCCTGCTCTTGGGATCTTCATCCTTTCCCCTGGAACCTTTTGAACATACATGGCTCCCCGGTAGCCGCCTGGAGCCTTCGGTTTTATTATGCTGGTTTATAAACTGACCTCTCTCTCTAGACCATAAGGTTCTCAAGAACAGAGGTTGTGCTCATTACTCTGAGCATCCTCATGGCTGGGCACACTGGGTGCTGCCTCATAGTGGGTGCTCAAGAAATACTTACAGGCTGATGATAAGTAAGTGGCTCAATAAACAGTGTTATGTCCAGGCTGTCTTCTGTGGCTCTTCTGGGAGAGACTTAGAGGACCTCATTGCTCACCAAGAGTTTTCAAGAGCTTGAGATCTGGAGTCATGTGGCCTGGGTTCTAATCCAGACTCTGCTCTTTCTTTGCTGCTTGATTTGGGGCAAGTTGTTTGACCTCTCAGAGCCTCGGTTTCCTCATCTGCCAAGTCAGGCTAATGAAAATGATAACCCTACAGCACCGTCGTGTGTGGGTTAAGAAGAAAATGCCTATTAAGTACTTAGTTAGAATCTGGCACATAAATATTATTATGATTACTATTAATACTATTATCATTACCTGTGCCTATCACAACTTGGCAGATTGGTTCAGCTGCCCACACATGGGTGTTTCAGGTTCACAGAGCAGACCTGAGGGCCTGAGCAGGAGGCATTCATCAGCAGTCAATACCGGGAAGAGTTTTCATCTCTAGGTTCCCTTCTTTTAAGCTCAATCTAATTCTTTTTTGGGTTCCAGCTTCTGGAGACCATGGGGCCCTGTCTTCTCTGATTCCCCTTGCTGCAGTTTCCATCTGTTTGTAGGCAAAGCTGATTTCCACCGACAGAGCCCTCTTATGGGGTATTTCTGGCCACTTCTGTGGGACTAGGTCTGAGAGGTAGGTGGACAAACTCAGAGCAGGCAGGGGCCCTTGGGGGCACCAGCTTGAATCCTGCATGGTCAGCATTGGCAGGGCCCTGAGAAGTCACTGGGGAACGAGAGGCCCAGGGAGACACAGTCAATCCCGTCACTGAGCATTGTGGTGGTAGGGGGATTTGAACCCGGCTCCTCAGCTCATCTCCACCACCCACGATTT